GGGGAATGGGTTACGAATTACAAATAATATACAAGTAACATAAGTGACACAAATAAGACATATAATAACTAGATGGGGAAAAGCTCAAACTACAGTTCATTTCAACATAGTGACAGTGTCAGGAGCAGTGTTTACTGGGAGTGAATACACTGATTTATTACAAGTTATTGATAATCTTTACAATGGTTGGGACTGGGCTGTTCTTATAGCGATCAGTTCGTGCACGTATGGGCTGGATGCGGTTGTGGTGTCGAACAGCAATTCTCGGACAAGGGATCTCAGGTGGTAGTAGGAGCCGGTGTCGGGGATGGTGTAGAAGCTTCTTACCAAATTTGCAGATGAGGTCGTGGTGATGGTCAGTGAGAGTCGAAAGGGTCAGTGTGTTGAGCGCTTCTTGATATGTGGAGTAGGAAGGGGAGAGAATAATCTTGCATGCCCTCTTTTGCACTTTTTCTAGGCGTTTACGTTGTGTGGCATTTAGGGAGGAAGACCAGGTGGGGGAGGCATAGGTGAGCTTGGGAAGTATGAATGTTGTGTAAACACTGAGGAGCTCGTGTGCAGGAACTCCGAGGGACTTGAGTCGGCGGAGGAGGTGGAGACGGAAACTGGAGGATTTGACAACTTCACTGACGTGTGGTTTCCAATTTAGTTTGCTGTCTATGGTGACGCCGAGGAGCTTCGTGGAATCTACAACCTGGAGTGTGTTCGGACCTAGAGTAATGGAAGGAGGTGGGACAATGTCGGAGGAGAGGTTGATGTGCATAACCATGGTCTTGGTATGGTTGATGGTGACATGGTTGTTGGTGGCCCAGTTTTGGAGACTGTTCAATAAATCCTGAAGGGCGGTATAGTTGGGAGCAGAATTGTTGACGCTGATCCCAATGGTGGAGTCGTCGACATATTTCCAGCGAGCAGGGGTTTCTCTTAGGGCATCATTGATGAGCATAAGGAAGCAGAGTGGTCCCATCTTGGTGCCTTGGGGGACGCCACAGGTGAGTGACTGAAAGGTGGAGACAGCCCCTCGGAAGCGTACAGCTTGGCGTCGGTCACTGAGGAAGTCTGTAAGCCATGGTATAAGACTTCTCCGAAGCCCGAGGTCAATAGCTTTGTTGATGATTATATTGTGGTCGACTAGGTCGAACGCTTTAGTGAAATCAATGAAGGCGACAGCTACAGACGTTTTTCGTTTCTCGAGATGGCGGTATATGTAATCGAGAAAGCTGACAAGACAGTGAGTGGTGGAGGAAGTTTTCATGTTGCCAAATTGCTGAGGGTCTACGACTCCTGCAATATCAGCATAAGCCCATTGTAAGAAGAGGAGGGAACGGCCTCCGGTGTGAGATGAGTCGGTGGGGCTAGACAGGGCACCAGAGGAGGTACCAAATTCTGTTGAGAAAAATGGAGAGGGAGGAGTGGGAGAGCGAGGGATGGATCCTCCATCTCGGGAGATGGAAGGAGGAGGGTCATCAGGGCTTGCAAAGTGCGCCCCTGTTGTGTCAGGGTGTCCAGAATGAGTTGTTGTTGCCTCTGCAATGTCGCAATTGTTTTCACAAACAAGTCGAGTTGGGCAGAGAGAAGGTTGATTTGCTTGGAGTGGCGATCAAGACGGAGAGTGATTGTTTCCATAGAACCAACTTGGTGTACCTGTGCAGGAGCTGGAGGTGGCGGCGAGGATTGCCAAGGGCCCGACTGGGCAGGTGGTGGTGGTAGCGACGGAAAGGGACGGTGAGGGTTCAGGTGAGTAAGAGGTGGTGGTGCTGGTGCTGGTGAGAGACAGCGGGGGTCCGGGTGGGCAGGAGGTGGTGGTGACTGTGTGGCAGGGCTGGCAACGACCTTGTTCCAAGAACGGTAGGGAGAGGGAGGGAGGGGAGAAGGGATGGGTGGTAGGGGTGATAGGGGGGATGGTAGAGGAGAGGAGATCAATGGGAAATCCTTGGTGGATGGAAGAGGCGGTGGTGGATAGGAGTGAGGTTTGGTTGACAGGGGCTTCGTCTGAGACGAGGGCGGTGGTACAAAGTAAGTTTTCCCCGGGCGAGGATCAGGACGCTGTGGGCAATTGGCATTCCAGGCGTGGTGACTGCCATGGCAATTGACACACCGTGGAATAACTGGGATTTTGTTCTGAATTTTCGATTTGCATTCCACTGTGTCGTGAGAACCTGCACAGAAACCGCAGGCGACCATCCTTGTGCACTCCCAGGTGCGGTGTTTCGACCATTGGCAACGACCACAGATTTTCGGGGTTCCGATAAATCGGTCGAGAGGACAGTTGTGAATTGGTCCTACATTCACCTTCGGAGGGAGGGGGCCCACCCACCAGCCGATGAGTTCTTTGGATGGACGTTTGGAGACCGGGTTGATGCGGCGTTCCATGTCCTGTAGTTGTGGAAGAAGAGGGCGAAGATCGTCGATAGGGATCTCCCAGGGTACGTGGCGAACCATTACCTTGGTACGACGAGTTTCTGGGGTGATGGTGGTGAACTTCAGCATCAGCTCTCCCTGGGGAGCAGGAAAGCTCACCTGAGTGAGCAGGCGTACCGTCTCGTCCATTTGTGTGGTGACTATCACGACTGTGAGACCTCGGCGGAAGTTAAGTGTTGAGTCCTGAAGTGGAGAGCAGTGACGGAAGAACCAGGTCGTCCGTGTGCTCAGAGGCAAGTCCCGAGGAAAGGCGAGACGACGAAGGCGCGACGGAGCAGGGAGACAAAGGGAATCCCCAATGTCCATTGTCGGCGGAGGGTCGGTCATTGAGCCACATGTAAGCTCACTTGGGGACCCCGATGACAGGAGGAGTCCACCCTCTACAGCCCCAGAAGGGGTGTGAGGGGGAGCCGTGGTCCCTGCTGGAGACCCTGACTTCTGAGGTTTCTGCTTCTTCTTTGACTTGTCTTCAAGAAGAAAGTCGTCAGCATCATTGTCATCTACTGCCACCGTTTCCAACGAATGGACCGTTTAACGGCGGGCATAGGGCACGTTGGCAACACTGCAGTCAGGTGGAGTGGTAATGACGTCACTGCTACGTCACACTATCACACTGCGCATGCGCAAACTTGAAAAACTTTGCTCAGAGGGATCGGGTGGTAGGACCAGATGTTTTATCCCCAAAAAATGACAAAGTCCAAAAAGTAAAAAAAAAATAGATGCCACTGTGCTGATAACTGGGTCTTACTATAGTTGTCTGCACAGGCTGGGATTGGTAGACTCGCTGAATTCGTCAGAAATATGACTTTTAAGGAGCAGTCTCTTACAGCCTTTGTTGACATTACACACGCATGCACGTTGCTCTGTTCATCCTATGTCAGACTCATCACGTTAAACTCGAACGTTATAATTCGGTCAAACCTGTTGAATACAATTAAATTTAATATTTCATCTAAATCATACATCACTCATACATCAATTTTTAATCCAATATACATTTACATAACAATCATAGCTATGTAATTAGTCTAATCTTAACACTTACAATGAGTACTTAATTTGCCATAGTTTATGTTGTCACAATGAAAAATGATGCACTGGACACAGTCTACTTGTGTACACAATAAGTACCAGTTAAACTTACCTGTTGAGAGTCTCAAGAGAAATCAGGTTAGGTGTTGCCTCTGTGGTCTGGATAACTACAGTTCCAATACCCTGCGTCGCCTCCCCAACCCTCGCTTGTCGGCGAGGGCTGAGTCAGGTGATTATACAAAAACAAGCTCCCCTTACTACCACCCAACACATCAACTACTCTGGGTCTCCCATCTTCCACCATCTCAACACTCTATATACTGCATACAGGCAGGCACACCCAATAAACATGGCATGACTTACAGCCTAACATAATGTTTGTTTATGTGTCATCCTACTCATTACTGCTTGTGGTAACAATATATATATATATATATATATATATATATATATATATATATATATATATATATATATATATATTACATATATATGGTGAGCATAAAGTCTTTCCCTGATTATGAAAAATCATATCTCGAAGACGATTTCATAGACTTTTTTCATGCATATTTTAAGCTGCAAAAAACTGTATGTTTGTACCTAGCATATGTTTTGTGTAATAAATGTTTGTAATTAGGGAAAGACTTTATGCTCACCCTGTATTTTTTTTTATGCTTCATATGTGTTGCTCATTTCGTGACATGGGTCTTCACCCTAGCCTAACAATTAAAACCATAAAAAAGTAGCATGTGACGGCCTCTGCAAGGTTTAAATTAAAAGTTTTTAAAGTATTTGTAAAATATGAAATGGATTCACGAACCGACAAAATGAAACTTTACTGGTACTATAAGGTAAGCTAAAGTCTGGGAGTAAAGTACGAATGTTCTCTGCTAGCTATCATCATTATCATGGTTGTGTTGATATATTTTCTTGGCGAGCGACTGATGCGGTGACTTACTGCGCTTTCAAATTAAACAAATTTTCGACTCGCTATCCCTACTTAAATCCTATTACATATAAGCCATCGAATTAGGTCATCAATTTCATTAGCTTCTATAACAGTTAACTCTAAAAACGGCCTTATTTATACACCAGCCTCTCTCTCAAAACAGAACGCAAATCCTCCCCCCAAAAATCCCGAATATCCTCCACAATGCATTGTGGGAAACGAATGCTGGCGTAGTTATGGTTGGTCTCTTGTCAGACCAGATAGATATCTCTTTTTACTAGTGAGTGACTGTAAGTAACAAGATCACATACAGTGTTGCTGACAGCCGATCTTGGTTTTTATTTTAATTAAGTTCATTTTAGTTTAAGAAAGTCATATTAGATTGAGTTCAGTAATTTACAGCAGTTTATGAAAGATATATCGTAAATATTCCTTCACTGGCTGAGTTTAAAGGATACATTAAGAAAGTGTTTTAACAATTTATAATTTCTCCATTAATTATAAGTACTGTACTGGCAAAATAGTAAGAAGACCAGAATTAGGAACACATTTTATACATAAATCATTGTAATATTTTTTCATCTCCTCCACTAACAGGTTTGGAATGAACAAGGAAGATGGTCGTGGCTGTGACACTTGCACTTTTATTTCTACCAATTGCTTTCCTGGTTGTTGCTCAAGTACCTTCACCTTCTGGTAAGTGGGTTGTAGTGATAATTACTGATAGCTTTTAAGTATAAACCTGTTAAAAGTTATTGGTATAAGAAATAATGGCCAATATGAAATACGTTATTACTGTTACGACACAAATGATAAACAACGTTGTTTGTACTCCCTGGAAACTGCATTAAAAATTTACTATTAAAAACATTTTATTTAAACATATATCAATTTGTGGTAATAAGAAACTCTATCAAAATATAAATTTGTTGAATAAAACTAAGAAAAGATATTATATAGAAATGGAGGAAATGTATAGTTTCATATTAACCGAGTGCAATTTGTTAGACAAGGGTAATTCTCTACAAAAAATTTAAGTATTTGGAAGAATATCTACTGGAAGTTATTCTCATTCACATACATAATAATTCTTACCAAAGATGCAAATTTCAGGAAAAATTACCCTTATATCCATGTATTTTTCTAAAACTTATTTTGTATTATATACAGTAATAGTAATTCAAAATAAACATGTAGCTAGTAATACCAAATTGATCACTAGCGCTACAGTACGTATTATGGGTCTTTACAACTAGGTTTATCATTAGTGTGCCATATGGCAGTGAAAACATTCTATCAGATCGTCAACAAAATTATGAAAAAAAATCGCTGTTTACATTGCGGGTAATTTTTTTTTCTCTCTCATATATATATATATATATATATATATATATATATATATATATATATATATATATATATATATATATATATATATATATATATATATATATATATATATATATATATATATATATATATATATATATATATATATATATATATATATATATATATATTGTTACGAGTTGGGGATTTAGAATATAGTTAAAAGTCTACCCAGATCCCAACAGGCAACAACAATAAAAAAATTAAGACAATCGGACTATAAAAGGGTAGACAAAGGATGCGAGTTTTTGTTGTGTATAATAAAGTACCATAAATTCCTTAACAAAATATTCAGCTTTCTATAATTTACCCATAACCATACTTAACCTAAACATTAACAGTATATACATATTTATACAACATTTAATAATTTGAAGCAAGTGGACGCGGAGAGACAATATAGGATAACAAATACTTAAGTGCGGAGCTGAAATGGCTGACGAGTAAGGCTGAGTATTGTAGAAGACGGTAGGTAGTCACTGTGCCATAGGTTTCCAGGATAGGTGATCCTGTGGTCACTTCCCAGAGTGAACTGAACTCTCCTCGAACTGGAGCTGACAAAGAAGACTTTGAGGAGGTGACACAACAACCAGGATATGGAGAAGGGAAACCCGGGAGTGGTAACTAAGACGAGTCATACTCGTGTTTCGTCCCTAGATGGCGTTGCTCGTGGTGCTGGGTAGGTAGATAAGGACAATAGATGGCGTGGTTCGTAGTGCTGGGTAGGTGGATCATGACAATTGGTGGCGTGGTTCGTAACACACCCCCCCTCCAAAGACCTCCGTAGCGCGGGCGCGAAGGAGGTGATCACCTGGTGCGTCTGGAGAGTAGCTGCTGCATTTCCACTGAAGCTCGGGATAAGGAGTCCGCAATCAGGTTGTCCACCCCCTTTATGTGCCGGACTTGTAGATTATAGGGCTGGGTGAGGAGAGCCCAGCGGAGGATTCGCTGGTTGGAGGTCTTGTTGGTTTGAATGAACGTGAGTGGGTTATGGTCGGCGAAGACTAGGGTTGTTTGTGGGCAAGACTGGAGGTAACATTCAAACTTCTTTATTGCCAACACGAGAGCCAAGGCCTCCTTCTCTATGGTCGAGTAGTTGGTCTGATGTTTTTTCAACTTGGCGGAGTAGTATGCCACAGGGTGAAGGACATCAGTGGTTGGGTCGGGTTGTAGGAGCACAGCCCCAACTCCGACACGGCTAGCGTCGATTTGCAGATGGAAGGGGAAGGTGTAGTCAGGGGGGTGGACTACAGGCTTGGAGGCAAGGAAGGCTTTGAGGCGGTGGAAAGACTGGTCGCACTTCTGGTTCCAGATGTTAGGGACCGCAGAACTGGTAAGGTCTGTGAGGGGTCCGGCCACGCTGGAGAAGTTACTGCAGAACCGACGGTAGTAGCCGCACATCCCCAGGAAGCGCACGAGTTCCTTCCTCGTCCTTGGAGTGGGGAAGGACAAGATGGCTTTAACGTTTGCGTCCTTGGGTCTGACCATACCATGCCCAACGATATGTCCCAGGTAAGTCACTGAGGCCCGGCCAAAAGCAGATTTAGCCAGGTTTATGGTGAATCCAGTCTCCTGCAGTCGTGCGAACAGTATCTCCAAACGCACCATATGTTCGTCCCAGCCGTCCGACACCACCACCAGGTCATCCAGGTAGGCGAACGTCCCACCTAGGTCCTGAATTAGGTAATTGATGGCCCTCTGGAATGTGGCCGGAGCATTAGAAAAGCCAAACGCCATAACCAAATATTGAAAAAGACCAAATGGAGTTATAAATGCCGAGATTATTTTTGCCCTATCCGTGAGTCCCACTTGATAATATCTTTTCAATAAGTCCACCGTACTGATAAATTTGGCACAGCCTATGCTGTCTATTATATCTTCAATCAAAGGTAAAGGGTAGGAGTCTGAGACAGTGACCTGGTTCACTTTACGATAATCGGTACAGAAACGAAAAGTGCTATCGGGTTTTGAATCAGAAGGTAAGGTGAAGCCCAGGGGGAGGTACTGGGCTCAGCTAAGTTATGTTTTAACAAAAAATCTACCTCCTATTTCATAATCTCTCTTTTTTGTGGATTTAGTCGATATGCTGATTGCCTAATGGGTTGTACATCATCCGAGATTAGCTTAATATCATGTTTAAGTATATTGCAAAACCCTGGGAGGTCTGACGTGACTTTAGGAAATGTTGATAATAACTTAGTGAGAGCTTTTGCTTGAGATGGTTTCAGAACAGAAAAATACTCATCCAAGTTGTTGAGTATGTGACTGTTAGCAGGGTTTTCTTTAGGTAGAGGGAAGTCTAAATTCTCCAATAGGTCCATGTCATCTGTCTCCGGCCCTGACAAAACCGTATGCAATACAGGTAAGCTTATAGCCTCTGGGATGTCTTCCTCTGACTGCCTGGAATGGTAAAGTTTCATGAGATTAATGTGAACAAGTTGTGAATCTTTTCTGCGATCAGGAGTTTGGACTATATAGTTGAGGGAAGATAGTTTATTAGCATTGACTTGAAAGTTTTGATGGAACCGTTCCAAGCAACCTTGGAATTGTGGGTGGTAAGCCGAAGATGTACAATGGTCCACACTGAGGTCTTTCATCACCTGTTTGAACAAAGATGGATCAGATTGTTGGGCTTTAATGAGCTCATCCTTACTAATGGTCTTGTTGTACAGATCTGTGGGTAGGAAGATATTGGAGGTGTTTTGAGATGAAGAGGGCCCATTTCGCACACTCTTTGACCGGGTGACAGCACAAGATGGGAAAAGGTGAGGAATAGTTTCTTCAAGGCCAGTGGTGGAGTTGACAGGTAAGGGAGAGTAGACTGTCTTTATGTTGGGAACCACTAGATCTCCTACCAAGTCATTACCCAATAATAAATGAATGCCGCTCACAGGCATTGGATCTTTCCTAATGGCTACTTGCACTTCCCCAGTAATCAAGGGACATTGGAGGTGCACTTTAGTTAAGGGATAGGAAGAATGGGATGAGAGATCTGAAATTAGAACACTCTCGTTAGTAAATGCGGTAGATATATCAGGAATGACGTTAAACAGGAGGATAGATTGTGCTGCGCCCGTATCACGTAGTATACGAATAGGGAAAGAACGAGACCCCTCTATGATTGAAATCTTTCCCTCATAGGTAAATGAAGAGAAGAGATCCTGACGGGGCCTTTTCACATTGGTGGTTGCTATTGGTTTGGATTTGGGATCCAGGGAACTACTTTTAGCAGTTCAACACTTTGGGTGTTTACAAGGCTGGATCGTATGGCCTGGGTTTTACAGTAAGAACAATAAAACTTGGTTGCATTAGGAAGGGGGGGGGGCGTAGGTGTGGGACCTTTCGACCTACCACTCACGTCCCCAAGGTTATCATCAGAGGAGGACCTAACATGCCGGAAAGTACCACGTTCCCTACGGCACAGTGACTCCACCAGCAAGGCGTACGCATCAGCCAGCTCAGCCGCACGCCCTAAATTAACCTCTCCACGCTCCTCCACATGCTTCAAGATGTGAAATGGTATCTTGCTCTTCCACTCCTCCAGGACTACCAAGTTTAACAAATCCTGAGGTGGCCATTAAGAAAACCTAGATAAATTAATTAATGGTCAAAAGATAAGATAAGTGGATTACCCTAGAAAATATCACGGCAGTGGATAACCAGAAAGTCCCGGAAACTACCCAAGTTAAACCTAGGGAAATCACACTTATGAATATTGTTCTTCTGATAAGATCCTTAAATGAGGATAAGAGACTTGAAAGAGGAAGGGCGTATTACGGCATTAATATAAAGATCCGGATTAACAACCCTTAGATACTTGAAACAGGAAGGGTGTATTACGGCATTTATATAAAGATCCGGATTAACAATCCTGAGATACTTGAAACAGGAAGGGCGTATTACGGCATTAATATAAAGATCCGGATTAACAACCCTGAGTAAACAGGAAGGGCGTATTACGGCATTAATATAAAGATCCGGATTAACAACCCTTGAGTTTGGTATGATTGACCCCGAATGAGATAATGAGAAGAACAATAATGGAGGCTTTATAATTATGGGGTCCTGGTAGAGCGGGGCGTCCCAAGATATCACTTCACCCTAAACTAGTGACTATGGAACAGCCTACTCTGGAGTGAGGGTGTGGCATTAAACAGATCCGGATTCTTCCCTACACTCGATAAGACTTACTACACGACTGCCACGTGTAATAACAGGTAAGCCTTATGACACTTGGAACCTAATATCCTACGTCTGTCACTCTTACTATACGATAATACCAATATATGCACACACATATGAAGGAA